AAATTTACAATTTGTGACCTTGTAAAATCTTTTATTTCCGCATGGCAGGTTACGATTGACTGAAACAAACAAAAACAATCGTTCAGTATTGCAAGAAAATATGTAAACTCAGTACTGCTAGAAATAATTGAATACAAACATGAATATGAATTCAGTGGCCTTAGTTTTAGAAATAATCATGATTATGAAAATAAATACCATGTACTATACAATATGGAATTTGAATAAAGGGATGCAACTATGAGAAAGATATTTTTACACTTAACGGCAGTTACTTCCCTTGACAAAGATCTAAGTCTGACGGTAGTCGAGTATTCTCAATAAAACAAAAAAACTACACTTTATATATATATATCAAAATAAACACAAAAATACACTTATGTATCGTAAAATTAGCTTCAGACTGTACATGACATACGACGTGTAATTAGTGTACATTTCAATACCATGAAATTGGGTGGGTTTCGGACCTTGCGCGACTTCTAAACACTTCAAGCAAAATTTATGGGATCTAAGACATGTACAGAGAACACAAGCATACTTGCTGACAATATTCGTCCGTAGGTATAGTATTTGACCACAGAAAATTTGTCTATTTTTCAGTACAAATTCTATAAATTCTGCAAACAGCTTGTTCACATGCTTTAAACTTTTCAATAAAAACTTTACGAATAAAGGACGACGACGTTATCATCTTATATGTACCTGGCTAAAAGCCATCTATACAAAATGTGTACTAAAAATGTAAAAGTGGCACCTACATTTTCTATTTTATGTCATAACCTCCACACTTTACTATTTTATGGCATGGCCTGCATACTTTACTTGTTTATATCATAACCTCCACACTGTATTATTTTATGTCATAACCTCCACACTTTACTATTTTATGTTATAACCTCCACACTTTACTGTTTTATGTCATAACCTGCAAACTTTACTATTTTATGCCATTAACTGCATGCTTAACTATTTTTTGTCATATCTTGCAGGCTTTGCTATTGTTATGTCATAGCCTCCATAATTTACTTTTTAATGTCATAAATTGCAGGCTTTACTATTTTAATGTCATAACCTTCACAATTTACTATTTTATGCCATAATCTGCATACTTTACTATTTTATGACAAATGTAAGAAATTTTCTATGGTATAACATTACCTGCGGACTTTACTATTTTATGACACAAACAACAGAATTTACTTCAAGTATTTTATGTTATAACCTAAAGAATTTACTATTTAAAAAAATGTATGACATAACCTAAAGACTTTACTTTTTTATGAAATAACCTGAGAAATTTACAATTTTATGACAGAACCTGCATACTTTGTTTTTCATGAAAAAACATGCAAATTCAACTATTTTATGATATAGTCTGCATACTTTCTTTTACTTTTATGACAAAACCTACAGACTTTACTTTTTATGACATAATAGCAGGCTTTTCTTTTATGACATAACCTTCAATATTTATTATTTTATGATATAACCTGCGAACTACGTTTCTTTTTCATGACATGCCAAAGTTCCTTTTATGACATTACCTGCAGACTTTACAACTTTATGACATATCGCCAGACTTTACTATTTCATGACTTAAACTACATAATTTAATATTTTATGAACATTTGCCTGCAGATTTCCTTTTTTTATGACATAAAATGCTGCATTTCCTATTTTATGACATGACTTGCAGCATTTTATGACATAACGAGCCGTATTTACTCTTTTATGACATAACTTGCGGCATTGTATAACATTACGTGCGGTATTTACTATTTTATGACATAGCGTGCGGTATTTACTATTTTCGACATAACATGCATCATTGAATGACATAATCTGCGGAATACATTCATTTATGATGTAACCTGTAGAATTTACTTTTTTTTTCAGATAAACTTAGCAAATAATACAGAGGAAAGTAAAAAAAATATCACATGTAGTCTGTAACTTAGTGGTATAATTAGTGTGTAACTTAGTGGTATAATTTGTGTAACTTTATATGTGACGTCGTATACTATACGCTTACAAATATTTGAATATACTGTATATTTGCATATGGCAGACTTGTCGATATGGAATACGGATATTTCTCATGATTTTACCTTATGCTGGTGTTTTTATCTTATACGTTGTGTCTCATTCTTACATTAGTTTAGTTTTAAGTTATTTAATTTAGTTCAATTGTATTGAAAGCTAGATATATAAGCTGATCAAAACTTATTACATTTAGTTTGATAGTATTAAAAGCTGTAAACTTATTGAAACACTCTCGAATTCATTCCTGGAACCAACCAGTACTATGCAGTGAGTGTAAAGTTTCTTGCTCAAGAAAATATCTTATTTAATTGCTTGCCCTGACGGTTTGTACCCACACGGCCAGCAAAGTTTAGGTGACCAGTACGACCTGTTAAACAACCCAGCCATATCGCATTCTACATATATTGTAAATAGATTTGTTTACGTAATGACAGCTCACCTAAATATAGAAATCTGGTAAGTAAATTTCCAACAAGTTTTTTTTTACCCTAAACTAGATCTGTAAGAGAGGGGACGACAAGAAATACACACATCAATTCTGTACAATTTTTTTTTATTATGAAAAGTCACACATACATTCTATCAAAAATAATCTAACAAATAGAAATTTTACTTCTTTTCAAGTATAACATTTAAAACATAATAATAACAAAACCAGCAGAATAACAATACTATCATAAAATTATTACAAGATTTAAATGTTTTATATTTCCAATATTTTGATATCATATTTTTATACTGATATACATGTCAAACTTCCATTAACATGGATTTGCAAAAAATCAAATTTTTAAACCTGACAAAATGTCCAGACATGTTATAAGACAAAATATTAGTCAAAACCAATGCCTGAATCTAAAGTGATTCATTTATTTCCAATTATACATGTACAATAAAATCAGCTAAATCTAATAAACGAAAACGCTTAATATGAAGTGAATATAATTGTTTAGAATGTTTCAAGATAGTAAAATGTTCACAAGCAAGTTTTTATTGATGTTAAAATATAAATTTATAAATTTTATGAACATTTCAAGGTTAAAACAATCATGTATTATATAAAGTATATGTACAACTGATATATTCCTGCATGAACTTAACTCCTTATGAAATTGTTTAAGCATAAAAAAATGAGTTATCATTTACATGTAATTACAGGTTTACAAATATACTAGACTTATATATTAAAATTCTAAGTCACAAACAAACATGTCTAATGTTTGTGTTCATACGACACAACATGAACATAACATACATTTTGTATACATAAACATTCATATACTTAGTAAACAATTAAAATCATTTTTATGTTTTGAAGTTTTATTACTTAAATAATAGATTAGTTTACTTTACATATACATTTAAAGTTTAAAGGCACATTACAGATCTGAAATGAAAATATTTTTTTTTTGTCAAAATGTGTTTTTAATGTTGTTATTGAAATAGATTTAGAACACAGGATATTCTTATCACCTGACAAAAAATGATTTTGAAAAGAAAATATGATTCATGTAGCAAGATGATTTAAACAAAATAATTATTGGACTTCCATACAAAATATGTATTCATCATAACTGTACTAGTTGCCCATTACTACGGCCAATGAGAAATGACACCAAAAATTAAAGCTTTTGAAAAATAAATATAATTGAATTTTTAGGCTTAATGGGCCTTTAAATTGAACATGTACAACTGTTTGAAATATATGTATGGTTACATGTCACAAAACAGTTCTTTAAATAAAATAATCTTATTTTATGAAAGGATTGCAATATCATGCAACTATACAATAAACATTTATTAAGTTTATTAATATGATTACATATGTACTAGAAACATTGAATCAGAATTTCATGTAACAAACAGACATGTGTAACATGTGTGTATATATAACATACTTTAATAATAGTATGTAATAACATTAGCAAGCATAAAATATAGCATACCCTAGTTAGAATATAGCTCATCACGAATGAAGTGTATCCTTTACGGGTATGCATGTGTTACCAATGATTTTAAATATAACATACTCGTAATAACATTAGCAAGCATAAAATATAACATACCCTTATTAGAATATACCTAATATTTTACTGTTTTATAACATTAAATATACATTAGTAGAAACTCATGGTACTGATTTGGCTAACTACATTCATCACGAATGAAGTGTATCCTTTACGAGTATGCATGTGTTACCTAGGATGCATTTTGTAAACACAAAATTACGTTTTTGGTGCAAATTCATGTAACATATGTTTACACAATACATGAAAAATAATTTTCTAATACAATAACATCAGTATAAAGATATAGCTTACATTACGTTAAATTTCATTCTACTTTAACTGTCTTCACATTTCTACTGATTGAATAAAAATATACAATGTACACACAATTCTAAAAGCTAGGCAATTCTTATATGGTAAACAGTGTAAATTTTAAATGTTTTAATTTTTGCTAACCTTGAAACCCCTAATATAATTAGAATATAAGTGTATTAAACTGATGTTGTTGTTTTCTTCTATTCTATCTACGACTGATATTTAAAAATAACATTTACCTCTATTAAGATTGATATATCTGTATGCATTATATTTCAATACATTTCTTATATTACTTATTGATAAACTGATGACAAATTGAATATTTCAAAACTTTTGTTTAAATGACACAAATCAAAATCTAATGAACTGTTTCTGATGATTAATATGCATTATGCATTATATATATCCTCTAAGTTTACTTTGCACTATATCTATTCCTTACAACAGTATGTAAATAACTTGTCTTTAGTATCCATTTCTTATTGAAAATAAAATAAAAACTAATTGATCATGTCTTTTAACACTATGCTTAGAGCTGCATGTATCCCCTCTCACAGTTAACAAATCAAAACATTATTTTTGGATGAAAATGATACAAAAACACTGTTTAATTGCCTGAATTCTTAATCACTTTTTTGTAGAAAAATCAAAAGATGAATGAAAATATACAAATATATCATCAGGTTTGATATGAAATAGTTTATCTTGATCTTTAACAACATACTGTTTAGCATCATTTCCCTTACTTCCAATAAATGGTGAGTCTTGTTCATCATCATTTAACTCTATCTCGCCATCATCTGTTATACAACATTTCAATACTTTCACATTTACAGTATGAGGAATACTAGGAAGACTATCAACAAACTTTTGCCATGTTGTCAAAGTCATTGTCACATAATAAAGCTCAATGTCCTTTAAACTGTTCATCTGTAAAGGTGACTGTATTATATTGTTAGTTAACCTAAAATCATATAACCGAAGCATCCTGAGATTGTGTACTTTGACTAGACTTTCTCCTATCATTGTATGATATAAATGAGATTTAAGGTCCCGGTCTGCATGTAATTCAAGCTCTTTTAATTTGTTAGATTTTCTGATGATTTCAAATATTTTCTTATAATTACATCTTTTCAAATGTGTATATCTAAATATTTCAAGGTTTGTAGTATCAACATCTTTCACACTAACAGCATCACACAAATAAAGGTACTTAAGACATCTTGATAAATTTACATCATGCTGTTTGAAACAATCACACCTAACTTCATGAAGATGTATTTGTTCAAGTTTACTGATTCCCTCAAGAAAATTACAAAATGTAGTAGTATCGTCATGACTCATTTTTATATAACTCATTCTTATTGCTACAAGATTTTTCATACGTGGTAGGTTTTTGACAACTGTTCTGCATACTGGAAAATAGGCAAGGGACAGAGATAGCGATATTAATGTTAAAGTATTTTTTTTAATTATCTCTGAAGTGCATTTGTTAATCTCATCAATCATCTTTGTATAACTCTGTATAGTATTATCATTTTGTGTGCTTGAAAACAATTGGCGTTGAATTGCAGATTGGAATGTCATTTCAAGTTTTTCAAGATGTTGAAACATTGGCAAATATTTTATAAATATAACATTGTCTGTGTTGCTGTAATTTACACGAATAGACAGAACAGAGTCAGTAGCAATTTGTTTCAGATCAATTCTTGAATAAACATTATCACAGAACTGATTCAATTCATCAATGATCAAATCTCCTAAATAAAATGCAGGAGAAGATGAGTCCTTACATTCTTCAATTAACGCAAACACAAGCTGATGAATATCAGTAAATAATATATTAATGTTTCTACTTTCAGAATCTGTATAAAATAAATCAGTTTGTGTATTTACAGTTCTCCTGTATTCCTTAACACGAGAGTCTTTTGACACAGTATCAAATATGAATTTTGAGACATGTGTTGCTAATTTGGGTTCTAGGCCACATAGCATAATCATGACACTTGACTGCTCTAAAATGTCATTTACTCTTATACATTTCATACATTTCTGAAAAACGCCTTCAATAATCTCATAACAACTTTTTGCTAATTCATCATTTCCTGTACTGTTTAATGAAGCAATTTCTGTATTAAAATTGATACAAATATTCACTGCAGCCAGAAATTCTTGCATTGATTTGTGAATAAAAGAGAATAATGAGCTTGATGGTTCTGATACAGTAAAATTGGGACGTTCATCTTCTGTCATTATTCCAAGTTTCAAGCAGTTTTTCCTAACTTCATCTGAGATGTCTAGTTTATCCAACAAACAAATGTCAAATGCCAAGGATTTGTTCTTTGGACAATTAAACAGTGTCTTATAAGCCAATTGTGACATATCATAAATGAAATGGCGGTAAAATTGTAATTTGGTTTTATCTGCTAAATATTTAGGAAGATTAACTTCCTTTTTACCCTTGTCTCGACCATTTGTTTGTGCAGTTTTCATATCATTCCATGCAAAGAAAAGTTCCAACATGCCCGTGTAGATGGCAGCTCTTGAGGTTTTATCAAGTTTATCATCATACCATAGACAAATCAATTGTTGAAGTATAATTGGTACCTGTTTTAAACTTCCAAGGGATTTTTCTCTAAGCTTTGCCCTACAGTCTCTTGCGTCTTTATTAGCATGTTTTCTATTATTTAATTGTGAGACTGTCCTATTTACCATTTCCCTTTCACATTTAAAATCAAACCCTTTTAGTTTCAGTGATTGTTTAATATCAACACCAATTGATCGCAAAGTAAAAAATTTCCATGGACGTGAAGTAGTTACTATTGTGTACTCCTTAAATTTGCTATGATCTGGGACATTTTCACAGGACCATTCATCTATGCCATCAAGCAAAATCATAACTCTAGAGGATTCCTTTTCAAGAAGTGTGCTTAAAATGTCCATTTGATAGCGTTTTTGAAGCATTATATCAATGTCAATGTCCTGATACTGTCTAAGAGGGATGTAAAATACAAATTCAAATTTCTTCATCACCTTTACACCCATGAATTTTTGTTCATATGTTTTACTATCATAGTCAAGTTCCTCCTTGGTATAATTCTTGCCTTCAATTTCGTTTGTTTTTGTACCACACAATCCAGCCTGTTCCCTTTGAATTTGAAAACTAAATTCATCCCACATTTTTATCATTTCTTCATTCAATCCTCCATGTTTTTCTTTTGCACCTCCATTTTCTACATTGTCGCCCCCATGTTTCTCACTTTCACTTCTATGCTTCTCACGGCCAGCTCCATGTTCTTCATTGTCACCTTCATTTTCTTTATTGTTACGCCTATGTTTTTAAACATCATTCTACTGCTTCCGCAGTGTCAACCCCCATCTTTTCTTCCCCCAAAATGTTTCCAAACAGCTCTTTGTGTCTTCTTTGCAAACATGTTTTTCATTGGCATTTTCCGATGTTAAACATCAGTCACTAGTCCTGTCACTGTCACACCCAGTTTTTCCCTTTGTCAACAACATTTTTCCAACAGTCAATTTCATGTTTCTCACTGTCATCTCCATGTTTTTCATTGTCATGTCCATGTTTGTCATTGTCACCTCCATGTCCTTCATTTTCACCTCCATAATCATCATTCTCACATCCATGTTTCTCACTAACACCTCCATGTTCTTCACTGTTACCATCATGTCCTTCACTGTAACCTTCTTGTTCTTCCTTGTCACCTCCATGTTTTTCATTGTCACGTCCATGTTTCCCACTGTCAACTCCATGTTTTTCATTGTCACCTCCATGTTCTATGCTGTCACCTCCATGTTTTTCATTTTTACCTACTTGTTCTTCCTTGTCATCGCCATGTTTATTACCTTCATGTCCTTTATTGTCACCACCATGTTCTTCATTGGCACCCCCATGTTTTACACTGTCCCAAAAATGCTTTCCACTGTCAAAATTATGTTCTTTATTGTCACTTCTATGTTTCTCACTGTCATCTCCATGTTCTTCACTGTCACCATCAGGTTTTTCAGTGTTAATATCATGTCCTTCACTGTAACCTTCTTGTTCTTCCTTGCCACTGCGATGTTTTTCAGTGTCAACTCCATGTTTGTCATTGTCACGTCCATGTTTCTCACTGTCACCTCCATTTTCTTCATTGTCACCTCCACGTTCTTCACTGTTAACTTCATGTTCGTAATTGTCACCTCCATTTCGTTCAGTGTCACATACATGCTTCTCACTGTCACATCCATGTTCTTCAATGTCACATCCATGTTCTTCATTGCGACTTACTTGTTCTTCCTTGTCACCGCGATGTTTCTCAATGTCACCTACATGTTCTTCATTGTCACGTCCATGTTTCTCACTGTCACCTCCATGTTCTTTACTGTCACCTCCATGTTCTTCCTTGTCAACTCCATGTTCTTCACTGTCATGTAATTGTCCTTCCTTGTCACCGTCATGTTTCACATTTTCACCTCCATGTTCTTCACTGTCAGCTCCAGGTTTTACACTGTCATCTTTATGTTCTTCATTCTCACCTCTTTGTTTTTTATTCTCACCTCTATGTTCTTTACTGTCACCTTCATTTTCTTCACTGTCACCTACTTGTTCTTTCTTGTCACCGCTAGGTTTCTCAGCGCCACCGTCATGTTCTTCATTTTCACTTCCATGTTCTGCATCGTCACCTCCATATTCTTCACTATCACTTCCTTTTTTTTCACTGTCACCTCCGAGTTCTTCACTGCCACTCCCATGTTCTTCATTGCCACGTCCATGTTTTTCATTGTCACCTTCATGTCCTTCATTCTCACCAGCATGTTCATCATTGTCACCTACTTGTACTTCCTTGTCAGGTCCATGTTTCTCACTGTCACCTCCATGTTCTTCATTTTCAGGTCCATGTTCTTCATTGTCACGTCCATGTTTCTCACTGTCATCTCCATGTTTTTCACTGTCATCTCCATGTTTCTCACTGTCACCTCCATGTTCTTCATTTTCAGGTCCATGTTCTTCATTGTCACGTCCATGTTCTACATTGTCACCCTTATGTGTTTCATTGTCACCTCTAAGTGCTTTATTGTCACCTCCATTATTGTATTTGTCACTTCCTTGTTCCTTAGTTACCTCTTCATTTACAACGTCAATTACATGTTCTTTATGTTTGTCATTGCCTTCTTCATTTTCATTGCCACATCCATCCTTATTATTATTGCCACCTCCATCATTTTTGTCTTTGTTTTCTTTATTTTCAAAGTCTCCATCATGTTCTACATTTACCTTTTCATTTACAATGTCACCTTTATGTTTTTCATTCTTACCCTCATGTTTTTCAGTGTCACCTGCATGTTCTTCATTGTCACTTACTTGTTCTTCCTTGTCTGCGCCATGTTTCTCACTGTCACGTCCATGTTCTGCATTGTCAACTCCATGTTCTTCATTGTCACCTCCATTACCTTCATTGTCACATACTTGTTCTTCCATGTCACTGCGATGTTTCTCAATGTCACTTCCATGTTCTTCATTGTAACTTCCATGTTCTTCATTGTCACGTCCATGTTCTTCATTGTCACCCCCATGTTCTTCAGTCTCACCAGCATGTTTTTCACTGTCACCTACTTGTTCTTCTTTGTCACGTTCATGTTTCTCACTGTCACCTCCATGTTCTTCATTTTTTCCTCCAAGCTCTTCATTTTCACGTCCATGCTCTTCATTGTCACCTTTATGTTTTTCATTGTCACCTCCATGTGTTTCATTGTCGCCTCCATGTTCCTCAGTTACATCTTCATTTACAACGTTAATTACATGTTCTTTATGTTTTTCATTGCCTAGTTCATTTGCATTGCCACCTCCATTTTTTTCATTATTGCCACCTCCATTTTTTTCTTTGCTTTCTTTATTTTCAAAGTCTCCATAATGTTCCTCATTTACCTTTTCATTTGCAATGTCACCTTTATGTTTTTTATTACCATCCTCATTTTCAATTTCATCTTTAAGTTTCTCACTGTGTGCCAAACACCAACAGTTGACTAGATATTTACAAAAACTAGTTTTTCCTGACCCTGCATCGCCAACAAGATATACAGATTTTTGGGGGATTCCGTTCTTTGTGAAGATTTCTGACATTGTTTTAACCTCCACCTCCTCTGTCTCACCCTTTTCTCCTTCTTTCTCGCTCGTTATTGTGGGTCTAATATAAATCTCACTAAAGCTACATTTTCCATGGTGTGGTTGTACAGGTGTTGTAGGAACTTGCAGCAGGGTTTTGTGATACTGATCCATAAGCTTTTTCCTCATTGCTGTAATTAAGATACTTAATATTAAATTAAACTGACACAGAAAAAAAGTAAATAATACAAAAAATTAGTATAGACCCGGATAAATTATCTCAAGCCTTAAACATACAATGTAAAAAAGAAAGACAACCGTTTATTCCATGTTCTCTTAACATCAACAAAGTTCAATGTACTGCACAAAACACGAAAAATCAGTCAGATACTTTTTAAATATAATTCTATTTTTCTTTTCTTTAAATACTTAACATTACTTGTCAATCTATTGCGTTATTCTTTGTTTAAAATAATAATACACATATTAACAAAAGAAGCATTGCATTCAATGAACGCAACCCATTATTAAACACAATTACAAAGCTTATCCCTCGGTTTCGCTTCAGACGTGTTATGGAACTGATTCATGTTTATTGGTCACAAATCAAAACGAGTCAATCTAAATATAAATGTATTAACCGGAAGTTTACGAAAATATGTTCTTTAATCAGCGAACATGAAAAGTGTCCGTATATGTACGCTAACCAATCGCCGAAGACGATAAATATATAGATTATGCAGAAATGCATCAATGAATCACGTATTATGCAAACCTTACCTTACGTATTGTACATAGCCTGATGACGTATTACACATTTATTTAAGATGAATTGAAACTAAAAGTCATTTTGTATGAAGACACATTTAAAATCCAACCGCGTTTCGGGCTTACACTCGCGCTTTGGATTTTTGCAGGCCCAAATGCGATTTTACCTGCCTCTGGTATCGAGCGTGTGCCTTCTTTGCAGATTGCAGAATATAACATACCTGTTTAAGCCATTACATATATTGTATAAAATTCCTTATTAATGTTTTTCATATCATATAAAACATATCTAATTTTGTTTTTTGATATTCTATATTACATACCTAATTTAGCCTTTCTTTATTTGAATAAAACACCTTAATTGGCATTTTAATATTTTATATAACATTACCGACTTAGTCTTTTCATATTTTATATATTAATATATTTGATTTAGCCTTTTAACATTTATATAACGAACATGATTAAGGCTTTTCATACTCTACAAAACAAACCTAATAAACGCATTTCATATTTTATATACTATGCCTGATTTTCATATTCTCCATGACATAATGATTTACAATTAGTCTTTTCACATTCAATAAATCATAGCCTATTCATAACCATTTAACATACCTGATTCAGTCGTTCTTTATTTTATTTAACATATTCTATATAACATGCATGACTTAGGCTTTTCATATTCTTTCATTATTTCACTGGATAAGCCTATTTATTTTTTAAAAAATGTACCTGACTTGGCTTTTTCATATTCTATATAGCAAACATGATTAAGCGTTTTCATGTTCTTTATATTACACCTGATTTAGCCTTTTCATATTGTATATAACATGCATGACTTTGACTTTTCATATTCTTTTTTTACGTAAATGATTACGCCTAATTACTTTCTGTAAAATATACCTGATATAGCCATCTTATACTTTATATAAATTACATGATTTAACCTTTTCAAATTCTATATAACATTCCTGATTGAGTCTTTTTTTTTTCTTTTTTAAGATGCCTGACTTAGGATTTTCATATTCTACATAACTTACCAGATTTAGCTTTTTCAAATTCTATATACTATACATGATTTCGTCTTTTCATATATGATATAAATTACCAGATTTAGCAATTTCATGTTCTATAAAACATCCTGATTTAGCCATTTTCTACAAACCTGATTGTGGCTATTTATTTCTTTGAAAAAAACCTGAGTTAGCCATTTCAAATTCTATATATTAACATATCAAATTTAGCCTTTTCATATTCTATATAACATACGTGATAAAGCCTTTTCAAAATTTTTATAACATACCTGATTTGGCTTTTTCGTTTATTATGTAACTTGCCTAATTTATCCTTTTCATATGATATATTGTCACAAAGTAAACCATTTCATAAATGCTCAGAAGTGCTTTAAGTACTTTGATTTTTACATAATTCGTAAGTGCTCAGAAGTGCTCTCAGTACTTTGATTTTTGTAGTATTCTATTCATGCCGAACCTCAGTTTTATACTAAATACAATGTACATTATTGTATCATCTTTTTGTAAAATTCAGAGTTATCGAGTGAAATTATTTATTTCAGTATTTTGATCTATTGCTTAAATTTCTTGGTATCATTTCAAGTATGTTGACATATTTTTCATAAAATTCGGTCCAGTAATAAGAAAGTTAGATTTTTGTGATAAAGTGTAAATTTATTTATGGTCTATTAATTTGATATTACAGGCCTGTATATTTTGTTATACATGCGTTCTGGAATGCAAAAAATCGTAAAAGTTATGTTTCACGCTTTCTACTCGGGGGAACTATGCATAATGTATATATTGAACGATTTTAAATCTTCTTTGGGTCTCACATTTAGACGTGTAAAGACGCACAAGGTCATTATGACAGACCAATTTATTTTTGTTGTGTAAATTTGAAGCTTGCGCAAGGTAAGTTTTTCTTTTCTTCTTGTTTTATTTAGTAAATTTTTGTTATTTCAGAAGATCGTTATTCAGTTAATTTTTCCTTACATAATCGTTTTGTATTTTTTTTTTTTTTTTTTTGCATTTTTGACAGTATTTGTTTGTTCTCCAAACTTTCGTCTTCTGTAGAGTTAGGACTCTAGTGTTTCATTCATTACTTGAATATTGGTAATCTGTTTATTATCATTGATAGTTGTTGTTATGTATGGAAGGCCGTTAACGCATTATTTTATCATACATATATTTCATTTATATTTACTAAACTAAGTTTTCATGTTCTTGTTTAATACAGTTAGTATTTTTATAATTGAGTCTGCTGCAGATGTTTTTTATATAATTCTTATTTTTTTAAGTAATTTTCGTATCACTTCACATCATCATTATTTTTTTTTTGTACGAAATAATATGGATTCGATTCAAGGATGGATTTTGTCGATGTTTAGGTGGCACCCGGTCTTGCTTCATGTTTTATATCTTACATCGTGCTACGATGTAATATCAACGTTGAATTTACTTTACCGATGTGTATGGCGTTCCATAAGGAACATCATTTTTTTAGAAACTTTGTTTATAGAAATCCGACAAAGGTCCGGCTATGCCAAAGGGACATATTTATACCCTTATATTTGTGTACCATGGATATTTACCATGTTTTATATTTTGTAGCTTCTACTCGGAGGATTCACCTGCAATTTTGTATCACGCATGTGTTCAACATAGCGACGATAGTGGATATTGTGACGTAGCGACGCAGTCTTGGATCTACACTCTGTAGACAGTACAGAATCGATCTTTCTGCTTTGAATGGGCCACATCTGGAGATTGTGACGTAGAGACCCCACATCCACAGTCTTGGATCTACACTCTGTAGAATCAATCTTCTGCTTTGGATGGGTCACATCTCGAGCTTCAGTGTATTTTTTTTAGTTAAGTCACCGGGACAAAGTGCTATTCGACAGGACACGGAACTTTAATTTATTTTGTTTTTCTCTTTTCATTCATTGCTTATCATTTAATTTCATTTATAAATATTCATTTATTTTTGTAAATATATATTTAAATAGTGTGTACTGAGTTGTGCTTTGTTTTTTTATGGTAGTTGTGATCAGCCTGTGTTCCATCGAAGTCCATAATGTGACATATATATCATACCTGATTTAGAATTTTCATATATTATATAACACACCTGACTGAGGCTTCCATAATCTACTTTAAATGTCTAATTTAGCATTTCATTTTCTGTATGACATACCGGATTTCACATATTTTACTTTCTATATAACATACCTGATTAAGCCTTTTCATATTCGGTATAAATATACCTGATTTAGCATTTTATATTATATGTGGCATACCTAATTTAGCTTTTTCATATATTATATTACAGACCTGTTTAAGCCTTTCATAGTTTCTATAATATACCTTATTTAGACTTTTCATATTCTTTTTAAAATACCTGATTTAGCATTTTCCTACTTGATATAATGACCATAGTTAGCCTGTTATACCTTATTAGGTTTTTTATTATGGTATAAATAACACACCTGATTATTCCTTTTCATATTCTATATACCATACCTATCTTTATCTTTCTAAATTTTATATAAAATAACTGATAATGACTTTTCATATTCTACATAACATGCATTACTTAGACTTTTCATATTATTTCATTACTTCACTGATTTAGGCTATCTGTTTTCTACAAATAAACCTGACTTGGCTTTTTCATATTCCATATAGCATACATGATAAAGCGTTTTCATGTTCTATATAATACATCTGATTTAGCCTTTTCATATATATATTATATAACATACCTTATGAAGCCTTTTCAAATTTTATATAACAAACCTGATTTAACCTTTTCATATATATATTATATAACATACCTGATGAAGCCTTTTCAAATTTTATATAACAAACCTGATTTAACCTTTTTTATATATTATATAACATATTCTTTTAAAATATCTGATTTAGCCTTTTTATATTCTGTATACATATACCGTATTATTAAGCCTTTTACATATATTATATCAACTACATTCTATAAAACATACCTGATTTAGACTTTTCATATTTTGTAAAACATACCTGATTTAGCCTTTTCATATTATATACAACAAACCTGATTTAGATTTTTCATATTCTATATAACATACCTGATTTAGCCGTCTCATATTCTATATATTAACATACCTAATTTAGCCTTTTCATATCTTAACTGTTTTTGTTGAGGAGAATCGTTTTCCTTGAGTCTTTTTATCTCCTACAACATAAATAATAATACAGGTAGTTTTATATCCAATAATTTGCAAAAATTATTGTCTTTGGACAGTCCGTCTAACATATAGTGCCCCAATATATCTAATAAAATAAACATCAAATTGAATATATATTATAGAGTTTATTTTCTAAATTAAATTTGGAACTTTTATTGCTATAGATCCTAAGGAAATATTTCATTACAGCATTTTGTGAAAATCATACAATGTACAAAATTTTTACTATAGAGTATTGAATGTTTCTACAAAATATTTGAATTGAAAGATAATCAAACAAGAGGTTCATAATAGCTCTAATATCGCTCCCCATGACAAGGTACAAGTTATTTGTAAACTATAAATGAAAGCTGATTTTACACTGATATCACAAAGTTCATATGCATTAGTATTTGGATCTGGAATAATGCATGCGTTTAATATTGACTAGTTGCTTTTGGAAAAAAGTGCTATTAGATGTCACTGTTAGCTATACAAAATAAATGGGTTTTTTTTTGGGGGGGGGGGGTTGTTTGTTTTTTATTTATACATTTGAGGAAAATCAATAACCCACCCGGGGCAAGGCCAATTTTGACACCCGGCTTTTTGTCAACAAACTTGAAAGACACTCATTAGAAGATGCTTTATGCCAAATATCTAAGTTCTAGCCATTTGGCTTTTAAGGAAAATGTTTCTGGTTTTCTTTTTTATATTATTAAAAATTATTAAGAAAAACAAACATTCTTCTTAAAATATATATAAAATATATATATATATATATATATATATATATATATATAATATATATATATATATATATATATATGTTTGGCTTTTTAAGAAGAAAAATGTTTTTTTTTTTTTTTTTAATAATATAAAAAAGAAAACAAGGAAAATTAAAAGGAAAATCAATGACCCCCTGGGACGTAGCAAATTTTTACTCAACAGCTTTTATTTGAACAAACTTTAAACACACCCAACACTAGAAGATTTTTTATAATATATATCGAAGCTCTAGGTCTTTAGGTATTTTCAAAAAAAGACTTTTTCTATTTTTTACTATATGAATTTGAAAAATTTGACCTCACAGCTTTTATGTGAACAAACTAAGTAGAGACCGACTAGAAGATTTTTTATGCTTAATATCTAAGCTGTAAGTTTTGGGATGTTTTGAAAATATTATTTAAGTGTTTTCATTGCGTTGTCATGACAAGCAGAGTAGTGCATGGAATTCAATTATGTGAACAATTTTCAAAAGTGACCGCCCAAGGAACAGTTCCGTATAGTTGCGATGAAATTTGCTTTGCGATTTATGAGGACATGTCGTTTAAAGTTAAACTTTATGGACAGAAGGACGCTGGATGAAAAGCGATCACAGAATCTCACCCTGTCACTTTGAGCTAAAACGAGATTGCAGAATGTTGTTCCACCGCTTTCCCACAACACTTCAAAGTTCAAATTAACATCTAAAATGTCCATATTGTCAAATTGTATAGCTGTTCATCAAAGAACAAGAAAGTATGTCATCTGTCAATCTCTATGTCAGCTGCATGCATGATATTAATATTCATTTTTTATCCAAGGCTGTGCACATTGTCCAAATTTCATTGCAGTACATAAACAGACAAGGTCAAAATTTGGAGTTAAGGGTTTAAGTAAAACCATCTGGATACAGGTCCATAAGACAATGTTTCATCTCAAATATCAACGCTGTAACTTTATCGTATTTAAAAGATTTAATTTCTGTTTGTACTTATGTACATAACAAAAATCAATGGCCTACGGATCGAGGCCAATTTTGATCACAGGGCATTACTTTGAACAATATTGGTCCACTTCACATGTTTTTCATGTAAAATATCCAACCTTTAGCCCTTGTCAGTTCAGAGATGAAGATTTTTTAAGTTTTTAACATATACATATCAGGAAAACCTATGCCCCTCGAGGCGGGGTCAATTTTGACACATAGGGGCAAAATTTGAACAACTTTCGTAAAGGACAAATAGATGATATTTTATAGCAAATACCAATGCTCTAAGCCTTGTACCTTCAGACAAGAATATGTATTAAGTTTTTACTATGTACATATGAGGAGAACCTATGGCTCTCTAAGGAGGGGATAATGTTGACACAAGAGGCAAAATTTAAACAACTTTCAATAGTTAGAAAAGTAATAATCAAGGTCACGATGACCTAAATATCGCTCACCTGATTACCGAGGCTGAATATTAAAATTGTAAGCAATCAATGAAATAGTGCAAATCTTTCATTTTTTATTCTATTTTTTCCATATATGCTCTTATATGTATTGTTACCATTTTTACCTCAGATTACCCTTATTCAAACCTAAACTTGATATCATACCATCAACTTTTCTGACCAATATTCAGGATATTTTGGCTAAAAGAGTAACCTCTTGAGTGATAGCAAAGCTTTTCCATTTTTTGTCTGTGTAAACTAGATTTGGACCATGGATGACCAATGTTCACTGCTTAACTAAAAGAACATCACAACAAACTTTGTGATACATTTTCATGATATTAGGGATGAAAATATTACCGTTATATCTTCATTTTTTTTAAAGATTTTACTTTGTCAACAATTTTGACCCCAGGACTTATATTTGCATAATCTTAGAAGAGGTCTTCTGCACAATGTTTCATGCCAAACAACTTAGTTTTAGTATTTCTTAAATCACAGAAGATGAAAATTTAAAACCTTTTTTTACAACGTCTTTAAAAGGGAAAATCAATGAAACCTAGAGGGGGACCATTTTGCCCCCAAGTTTAAATTTTAAAAATATGGGGTAAGATCTACTACCAAATTTTTATGCCAAATACTTATCTCTATTTTTGTAAATTTCCCGGGAAGATTTTGTTTTTTTAATTTTCATTTTATGCAGAGAAGGCGTATCAATGACCCCTGGGGCGAGGTCAATATTGACCCAAAACCTTTAATTTGAAACGTTCTTGTAGAGTTTATGAGACAATGATATTGCTATACACAAACTATTTAGGCCTTGCAATTTAAAAGGAGAATCATTTTTAGTTTTTACATACCCATATGAGGAAAATCAATGACCCCCTAGGGCCAGGCCAATTCTGAGACCTAGTCCTATAATTTGAACATGAGGTGACGCTACACACAAGATCTTTAAGCTCTAGACATGCACTTTCAGATATATTGTTTAAATGATGACGGACGAACGGACGCACTGGCACCAACTGTACTGACGGACGATGGACGCCGGACGAATTGTGATCAAAAAAGCTCACCTTGAGCACTTTGTGTTCAGATGAGCTAATAACCCAAGAATCATATCTGTACGAGGTTTGTTCGCAGCCCGATGTACTTCTAGCCACTTCACTGACATTTACACACGATACGTCGATACTGATTTCTTATTGTTGATTACTAACCGAGTTACACGTGGTTTTACACAGATTAAGTAACATTAAACACACTGTGATCCGTAGTTGGATGTGCCAGTTAGAACAAATGGAGAAAGTTCAGAGCTGTCATTAAGTACCTCTGTAAACAAGGTATGTCCCAAAAATTCAAGAAAGTGCCATCAGCATGGAAGATGACGGCTTCAATTTTTGGGATAATCAATTGGATAATCATGATTGACTAGCTTGAGCAAGGTCGTACCATAAACGTTACGTAATATTCAGGCGCATTGAAATGTGTACATTAAGAAATCCCGCCTAAAAAGAGGGGCAATCTGACTGAAGGCGTTCTGCTCCTGCTCGACAATGTGCCAGCTGACACATCCAAAATTGTGATGGCCGGCGGCTTTGAAATTCTCCCCCCCCCCATATTCACCGGACTTTGTCCAACTTTTACTTCTACCTATTTCCGAATCTTCAAATCAAGCTTCGTGGTAGACTTTTTGGAAGCAATGAAGGTGTCATGGAGGCAGTCAATGATTTCTTTGAGGACCAAAATAGAGAGTTCTATTTTGAAGGATTAAACAAGTTGGAGCCTAGGTGGGAAAAGTGCATTGATGAGGAGGGCGATTATGTTGAAAAGTAATACCATTATTAAGGTTCTCTGACTACCGGAAGTACATCGGGCCAAGAATATTTTGATCTTTCCTCGTAAAGTTTAGTCAAAATCTTCCTTAAGTAAAGATGGTTGACAAACAATGGTGACAAACACAATACAAGAAGCGCCGCAATTCAACAGAACCATGTGATCAACGACCAAGTATTGATGTGACAGGAATCAATAGGTCAAAGGGTACTGAGTTATTGAGTAGAGCTGAATAATTTAGCATATGTAAGTGACATTGACCTTGCTATCACATCCGTAAGTTGCAGTCCTACCTTCCCGCCCACCTTCCTTCGTTAACAAAAAATGTCATCACAAAAAATGAGTTGAAAACACAAAAGTCGTAACATTATAGAAGCATGATCAGTAAAGTCAAATTCCTATTTAAGTCAAAGTTATAAACATGATCCTGAGGCATGGCTCTTTTTGAACCACTATTATGATTTTCATAACTCAATGCTGCATACGTAATATGTAACATTTCAGGTTTGGCCATTTAGTTACAAGGGGTTTACATGTATTACTCATGATTATGATTTTCATAACTCAGGCAATGCTGCATAATAAATATGTAACACTTCAGGTTGGGCCATTTATTTCCATGAGACAAGATTTATGTTACTTTTGGAGATGGCAACAAGAGCATCATTCCTGTAAAGGTTGTTCAAAATATTTTTTTGTAGTTTGAGCCGACATGTTCTTACATGGAATTGTCAACAGTTAACCTCAGTTATAGATCAAAGTTGAATTTAAATTATACAACAAGCTAGAATTTCACAAGTGTAGTTTAGTTCCAGAATGAATCAGAACTGTGCATTATCATTAAGTACAATATTATTTTATTTAAAGCAGACTATAAATCAAGCTTAAGGTCAAGGTTCCCATTTATGATTATTTCTTTATATTATCTGATAATGAAAATAAATTGACCGTTACAGTGAATTTTCTATTGTTACTCAAGCACAATGCAGAGTGTACATTTGTGCTGCTGAAAAGCACTCTATGATACGTATATGTACAATTTCAATATTTTATGAATACATTTAATATCATGCGTGCACCTTAACTACATTTGCCGTTGAATTCGGAATTTAAACATCACTTGTTAAAGTAATACTTGCGTTAAAACTGATGTCGACAAAATGTCTCGAAATTCGATCAATAAGAAAATTTGGCACAAGGAAAGCGAAACACTGTCTGAAACGTACCAAAGGATACTGGCTATTAAAAGAAATGTTCAGTAAGCAATAACCTAGTTTTTGATAAGCATTATTGATTGCTTGAGAAAGAGTAGTAAAGAAATACAGGTTTTGTTCCAGTGTTTTGGGAACATATCCCATAATTGATCCTTGATGTTGATTACGTCAATCACACGGTAAATGGAAAGATTGCGGGAAATGGAGGGAGAGGCAGAAGAAGGAAGATATCAAGTATGTTGGTGACGTGTATTGACTTGAGGTTGGAGAAACACGTTTGACTCTGCAAACATTATCATCGATGTTCGATACCGGACGGTGCAGTCCATTTAAACTGTGGACTTTAAAATGCGAAAGCTAAGTGCATTCTATTATCTTTTAAACTTTTTAAAGATATTTTACTATTTTGCGAATTTAACCGTTTACTCATTTTAACTTACTTAAACGTCAATTGTCAATAAATGGGTAATTGGCAATAAAGTACAGAAGGAATGTTTAATATTCATTTATAGAAACTTTTAATCAAGGACAAGTTTTTTGCTTCAAATTATTAAAAAAGTGTTTTTGATATTGGATTCTTTTCAGAAAAAACAACACACACACACAAACGTGTTTGTTAAACAAAATACCTCGGCTCAGATTTTTGTCAGTAACTATATTCAAAAAATGTTTACACATTTACTCAGTTACAGACATAAAATTTGCCAAAAAATTGTAAACACATTTATTTAACTTGACACAGTCATGGCGTTTTGTATTTGTGAAGAAGATTATTGGCAAGTCATTGCTGTGACTTGTGATGAAATTGAAAAATATTCAACTTTATCAAATATATTTGAATTTAAGACTTAAACTCGGACCCAGTGACTCTACTAAATTCCCTCCAAACTTAAAGGATCACCTCAGGTATGTTCCTTGTAAATATGAGACATTGGTAAGATTACAAAGGCTGTATAAGAATGTGTAAAAAAAATTATAGTGTTAGCATAAGTGCAATTGACCTTGACTCCCAGCACTGGACCATCCAATGTCTGTTCCTACGAAATATGAAAACATCAGTCTGTAAATGCAATGTGTAAAATATATTTCTGTCACCATTGACCTTGACCCACGGACCTCTAGTTTAATCCAAAGGATCAATTTTATGTTCCTACCAAATATAAAAGACACATCTCAATAGAGTAAGGTTATACACCTTTAAGAGTGCAAAAAACTTTTTTCGACATTGTGACCTTGACCTTGAACTAAATAAACCCTTATTAAACCCAAAGCAAGAAGACTTCCCTTGACATGTTTGTATCAAACATGAAATACATTTACTTACAAACAATGTATAAATAAAGGCTGTATGAGCAAAAATGTTTAAAAGAATTACAGTCAAATCGGCCCTAAGTCAGATCGGCCCCAAGTCAGATCGGCCACAAAATAGTCAAATCGGCCCCAAGTGAAATCGGCCTCAAGTCAGATCGGCCCCATTTTTTTTCTTAATTCATTATTCATTTTCTTATTTTTTAAATGTTGATAAAAAACAATCGTGTGGATGGGAATACCAAATGACAAACAATGGATTACATAGAAAACAAGAACAAAACATATAATAATCAGTCGAATTTATTATATTCATTTGAAGTCATTTTTATCAAGAGTTTAATATATATGTTTTTTTATAATTATACTGAGACTTTTTTAAATTTTGTTAATTATGATTTTATACACAGAGATGGAATCAAGGTAAGTAGAATTTTTAATTAAATGTGATTACTTCAGCTTTAAAGACACCACAGTCTAAAACGCGGACGTCTTAAGTTGTTGGTGATATCATTTCTTTTATAGTTCTTTTATAGTTTTTTTTAATTTAAAGAAATTAAATTTAGATTGATTAAATATATAATTTATCCAGATGTGTTGGACACGTGTAACTAATAAACAGCTAATTTAAAGTGTGAACAACATGCTACCTGATTAAACGTCTCACTCTTTAATTGAATGGATATCTCTAAAAATAAGTATTTTTCGGACAAAATAATCATAACAGAACAGAACATATACTTTATTTCTGACTGGGGCATAATACCCATCATCTCAACATACATATACATGTATATTTATTATAATGCATGCACCAAGAAAGCATGATATAATAAATTCAAGGAGTTATATTCACATAATTAAATACCGATTTTTTTAAAGGGACAGTTTGAGAATTTACGTTTCGTATTCGCATTCGTTTATATATGATGGTCATCAATTAAATATCAAATTATACATTCATATATGATATCTATATTGTCTGCGTGTTCCTATAGCCACTCATGTGCGACAAATCAAATTAAGTTTGAACATCACATAATTTTGTACCGTCACGTTTAATCAGGTAGCACGTTAATCACACTTAATTATCGTTAATTGCATCAATCATTCGTTAATCCAGTAGCATTGCATCTCTATTTATTATTATCAATAAACTATAATTTAAATTAAAACTACTTTTTTTTTAAAAAATGCATTTAGAAAATTAGTAAAATACATGTTTGACTGTTGCGTGTGTGTGTATTTGCGTTTATTTATACTCGCCACCGGTTGCCCATATGGGCGAGTCCTCCAGAAGAGTATTAGTCATTTTATTTTTTGGAGGATAGTGCAATTATAGATACAGAAAGATGCCCCAATTCCAGAAGCTTCTCCTGGTTCTTTAGCGTGCCAAGTGTTTAAGCACCCATACACGGGACCTCGATTTAAAGTCTCATCCGAAAGACTGATTAGTAATTTAAGTTGGCTAGCCCGGGAATCGAACCCACAATGTCGAGATTACAAGTCTCGCGCTCTAACCGATTGAGCTATGCGGGCTGGCTGACTGTTGCTAAAAAAAAAAAAAAAAAAAAAAAAAAAACCTTTTTATACATAACTGATTAAATTCATTTCACTCAAAATTGTTTGTTAAAAAAGCCGAATTCAATGCATGATTATTTGAGACAATGACTAAATTGATTAAAGACACGTGATAATTGTTTGTTTTTCACATAATTATTTATCTTCAAAACGTAGACCGACCTTTAAATGTTCAGATATTTAATTGTAATTAAATGTAGATATCAATCAACAACCAAAGCACACCTGCATAATTACATTAATAACAATTATCACTAGCATCAAAACTGTCTCAATTTTGTAATGAATTATTTTTAATTGGTACATTTATGTTAAAGTACAATTCTCAGTTAATAACCTTGTAATTTTTGGCGTATAACATTATTTTAACCAAAATTGGATTTTTCATAAAAATAACTTTAGGGCCGATTTGACTAGTTGTGAGGCCTATTCGACTAGTTTTGGGCCGATTTGACTAGTTTTGGGGCCGATTTGACTTTTTAAAATTGTTGTGTGGCCGATTTGACTAATCTTGAGGCCGAATTGACTAATTTTGGGGCCGATCTGACTTGGGGCCGATCTGACTTGTGGCCGATTTGACTAGTTTGCGTTTAAAAATATAATTTTTTAACAACAGTGACCTTGACCTTGGCCCTAGAGACCCCTTACTCAACCACCAATTAAAGGGCGATTAAAGGAATTACCTTCCAAATATGACAGATATTATTAATAACAGGCAATGATGGACAGTCGGACGGATGGACAGACGGTTCAACAACTATATGCCTAGGGCACAAAAAGTTTTAAATCATATATTGTGATACCTTGAGAGTGAGTACTAGATGTACAAGAATAATATTCCAAAACGAATATATATTTTGCTTTGCATGCTCTTATTGTATCAGCTTAAGACTAGAAATGATTATGTAATAATACTATGTTGACAAAAATATAAGCTGATACCCTGTGGACTTATGCAGATTAGCAGAGGGTGGCATACTGTTAGTTCAGTATTTCACAACTTTCAAAACAAACAAAACAAGGATGATAGGTGGCACTGTTGAACATAATTATGATAATCAGTGCTTTATAAGCTGATTATATCTAAAGATTTCTTTTTATTTCTTTATAGTTATGTAATCCCACCTCAGTTTCTACTCTTGCGTGATCTAGTTTCCTGTCAGTTTGAATTTAATTTGGCAACATGTTTTTTATGCATAAAATTAAACAATTTTAATTCTTGCATTACTTTAATTAATTTTTGATGAATAAGTATATGAAATTTAAACAGATATGATATAATAAAGTTATTTTATAACACTGGTATAGATTGTTCACCATAAAAATGTGATAATTAGGCTTTGCGAATGCAAGCATGTTTTAAAAATAAGCCGCCATGTTCTTACAGTCATAACATACTTAAAAACATTCAAAATAGTAGGTCTAAAAATCAGATGGTTTCGCCGGCGGAACATTCATAGGCATACTTCGAAAATAAAAATAGTGCCATTTTTGTAACATGCAGGGGATATATTATGTGTTTTTATGTAAATATTCAATGAGTAATATATGTTTTAAGTAATAAATCAAGTCCGGTTGTAACAGAAAACAATGGGCATCATGAGTTCACAAAGCTTTCTAGACTGAATGTGTGCCTTACCAAGCTTATAATAATGTTTCTCATACAAACATTAGTTCTATGTTTGTATGGAATACATTAACTGAAATATCAACTAGAAACAAAGGATAGAAAAAACATTTTACCTCTTTTAGTTTGGACATCTGTGTTTCAAGTTTATTTGTGAGCACCTCAAATTCCTCTTTGGTGGGAGAATTTTCAGCCAATTTTTGAACTTTCGCCAATTCCTCCTTGATTTGCCTCAGGATTTCTTTAAAGTCTTCAGTGGTAACAATGAAATCTTTCTTCTTCAGCTGATGAAAAATAACAATTTTGTTACATTTTCAGAGAAGTATGTGTATCTGTGTGTTTTTTTTATATTTATATATTCTATACAACATATTTTAAATAAGGACAAAACTTTATTTTAAACTAATAATTTTATCTTAGAATAACCAATAAACAAATTAATAAAAAATAAATCAACAATATAATATTTTACACAATTGAAATAATAAACAATTGAAGGTATTTAAATATAATTAGAGGCCGAATGACGAACGCAACACATGTGTTCAATCCCATGCGCGTGTCAAACTGTTCAGCGCCTCGTTAAATTTTCGAGATCATATCCACTCCTTTGCAATGACGTTTTGATTGTATTTGAGAGGTATGTCTGCAGATGCGTGTACATTTCCGATTTTCTTAACTAATTGGATACACACACTTTTTTTACTCGCTAAATAGAAATTATTTACTTTTTCAGAGTAATCGAATATCAATTTTGGTGACCGATATTTGGACATGCGATCGAGCACTGGGTTAACCGGTTACTCATAGCCATCCCTAAAGATGATCTCAATTGCTCTATTATTTTATCTATAATACTTTTCTGAGGGCTTCTAAAATTTACTTTTATAAGAGGGTATGTGGTATAGGTATCTAGCTATCGGCTTCTTATTTTCTTACTTCTGTTGATACATATATTTCAGTGTAACATGGAGTTCGAATTTTAGGAGGTTCCGGAATTCATATAATACTTCTCTGTATCTTAGTTTCACACTAAATTCAAGGGTTTTACATGCTTGAAAGGTTGAGGTTCTAATAGGGGTCAAGATATATGGTCACTGCTAATTGGAAGATAAAAACATTTTGCAAAATCGTTTGGACTTCATAGTTTACAAGTACGAGAATTCAGAGGTATGAATTATAAAGGTCTCAGCCTTGGTACTTTTGAAGATACAAATGTTTTGTAGGTTTAATCACCTCAGGTATAATAAACATTTACACCCTTTTACAATTTCAAGATCTTAGCAGACACATTTTAATTGATATTATCTAAAACTTTAACACACAATCGTTTGGAATTCAGAATTTTTGAAGTCCGGAATTTCAAAGGTATAAATCATAAAGAATTTCCAGACCCTGAATATTGTTCGGATTTCAAGAGTTTACGGGTATTAGAAATTTCGGACTTCGTATGTTACACTGTGCTTAGATGCTTTTTGTAAATAATCAAATATGTTTTAGGTACATATGTATTTTATGCGACTTTATCAATTCACTTAAGGAAACTATTTTTTAATTTGACTACTATTTACCATTGTTAGCTATGTTACCTATATAATTTATTTTGTCCTTAATTTTGTTGTTTGTTATCTTAACAATCTTAAATTAACTGCATACAGATTTCAAACTTCAGAATATTTACACTTACATCTTGCAGTTTCGTCACCGCTATCTGAGTATCTGATCGTTGTAATAGCTCCTTACCATCTTGTAGAACTGCAATCATATCCTCAATATACATATTTGCCTCACTTTCTTCTAATTCCATGCTGCTTGAGTGAAAAATAGTATTTCTATACTGACGCACCTATTGAATAGAGAACACAGATTCAATATTTCTATGCATAAATATTCAGTGCTCTGCAATCATAATTATTTTGTTGAAAATTGTTTAGGTAATTACCTACATATAAGATGTAATCATGAGTTATTTTTCATGTCTTATTTTTGTCATTCAATTTGAGAAAAAGACAAATTGTAAAATTTAATTTTGGGAAAAATATGCCAGCGTTCAAGATGTTAAAATGCTTTATGAACTCAATAAATCTTATTGAAACTGCTCAGAAATTAAAAGATATCCGAAACGTCCAAAATGCTATTGCACACCAAATACAAAATACCTTTTCCTAGGAAATAACCGATCTCAGGATCGGGAATTTGTTTTAGATTAGGAAAGAAAGAACACAATTTAGATTGAGAATAAGGCTTATATTTGGACCCATGAGATATGGGGAAAAGAACATGCATACAAACAGTAAATATTAACCACAATTCTTGTGAATTGTTACAATAAAATGTTGCATCAAAAAAGATTGGTGATTTTTTTATACATTTGTTGTGAATCATTAGAGTGTATATTACTTCATTACCTTAATAGTTAAATTTTCATTTTCAATTTTACTTTAATGCTGAATAAACAGCATTAACATTAAAATAGAGCTTATAAAAGATAAATAAATTGTGTTTTAATGATTTACCTTTGACAAAAGATTGTTTGTTCCTGTGACATTGCATCCAATGTGGCTATGAAAATACTGGTTATTTATCAATACATGTAATAACCCAGTAGAATCAGTTGCACTAGCAGATTGCCTGTCCTCGTACCCTGGAGCATTTATAAAACATTTACAAATGCTCCAAGGGTCTATCGTCCACTGTTGAGCATCAGTGTTTTTCCAGTAAGGTGAAGGTGGTGAGGATGCATGCTGCTGCACAATATAGTCATAGATTGCGCCACAAATGTTGTTCGGACATGCAATTTTGACCTTAAGAAAGCAACAGCTGCATTTTACTTGCCCAAAGGGACAAACCTTGTTTCTAGCATTCCCAAGATCTGGCTTATGATCTGGCTTAAGAGTTTCTACTCGACAGCTGCCACACGTCACAGTTGATGGTAATGATTTTTTTGTAGACCTAATATTTTGTAAGATATCCTTATGTTGTTGATAAGCAATGTCATTACAAAATGGTGTGAGTCCTTCTTTTAAATATCTAAGTCCTAAACCAGCCTTTACCCACTGTCTGTATTTGTCATTCTCTAACTGAAGTTGATGTGCCATCCTGGTACTCAATATCTAAACAAAAACAATTTTTAAAAGGTAATATTCTGGCCTTTTACATGCATGTAACACTATTTTGGCATAAGAAAACTACAGAGCCATGATGAACATTACTTTATTTTTTAGGATCTTAATGACAAGGAACAATTAATATTGATAGCTATGAATGAAAAGCAGATATAATTTCTTTATCTTAAAATGCTTTCACAATGTTCTTATCCGCATCGGAAATGAGGCAAATGTCAACATTTTCTATATTTTGTCGAACTGTCCAGAGATGACCAATATTCGAGCAAACTTGAGCAAATATAGTCTTGCAATCATTGTTGTGATTTTATGTTTTCAGCAATTATTTCTTCCGATTTGGACTTGCCTTAAGTCTGTTATTGTTGGTTATCAAATTATTTATCTGATTAAATTTAACAGTACATACTAGGGGCCTATTCTAATTGCTGGCAACAACTCAATTTAACCATGATTTGCACGGGGGAGCAATTTCCGCTACCGTAAGAAAAATACATCAGCTCTGTCAAAGCCATAAGTGATGAAGAAACAATACATACCGTGGAGGCGATAAGTGACTTATCGAGCCTTAGTTCATCATAAGGGTTTTCCATTTTAAAATGAAAGTTAAGGAAAGTGTGTGCCCGTTGAATCCCTTTTACGCTATATTCCGAAAAAGGGAGCTTGTTGAAAAAGCCTTCGCCTTATTGACCTGGTTCAAAGGTGAAGGCCCGGGCGCCTGATGGAAATTGTCATAAGGGTTGAATGCTTTATTTTTTGAGACCGACAATAAACTCAGTAACAGACTCACTTAAAACCTAAAAAAAGAACGGTCAACTTGTTAAACATGGTCATATTGAGACGCTTACTCTTTTGTGATCCTATGTTTGAGTGGTTGAGGTTGTGGACTTCAAACGACTTGTCCCTCCACCATTGTGGGTTAGAAATCCGACAAAGGACTTTTTGGATTCTTTTCCATGTTATGGAGGCTAGCTTTATGGAATCGGTCGGGATCCGGTTCCCAGGTGCCCGTTCGACGTGCCTGGAAAATGGCACGGAAAAGGCCACCTGAGGAACTTCCTCGGCCCCTGGGAACGTCACAATATGACTTACACTTTCCGTTTGTGACCGGTAAAACAGAATAAAAAATTAAAATTAGAGTGATTTTTTGTGATATGTTTTGAATATAACGGCCATGACGGTCATTTCAAAGTGTTTTACACCAGTGTAATATCGTTTGTTTTATTATTTTATTATATTTTAGTTTAAATTAATTAGGTGTCTTACACTCCTGCGCTGCGGTTTATTGCCCGATAAAATGAACATTTTTTGTTAATAAAATATAGTCCAATATATAAAAAACTTAGAAAATGTGTCCCAATTTTTTTAGGACCCAAAACACATATGGGAAGGGGGAGCCTCCAAAAAATTTTCACTGTCAAAGGGTCCTTACAAACAGCGGGAAAAGGGATAACAGAGGACCCTTTAAAAAATTCCTTTCATGACTTGTCCTTACTCCCCAAATGATTTTTGGGGAAAAAACCACAATTTCGGTTTTTTTTAATTGTTGGAATTTTTAAAAATCAATTTTAAGTTTTTAGAAAGTTTAAAATAAGATAAAAGCGACCCAAATTTTTCCCCGGGGCACCAAGCAATATGCTATACATTTTCCCGGTAAGTTAAAAGAGTTTTTTTGTTCAAATTATTTTTGAGTTATGTAAGGCACAAATTGAAGATTTTTGTTGTTTGTTGAGACATGCATGATTATAACAAATCGAGAATAAACTTTATAATTTTTCCTTTTTTATTAACATAGGCTTGCTTGTTTAAATTTAATCGATTTAACGTTTTTAACTCAAACAAGCGCAAGTGGAAGTTTCAATCGTAATTCAATTCATTATAACCTGGTTTACCTAAGTAAACATTCGTCAAGTACACATCAAATGAAATGTCACTCTCGCACAATTATCAACAAGCAGTACGACGGGATATCCTATTTTACAGTTCATTAATCGATATAAAATTCTTAAAAAAACATAATTCTTTTAGATTAAACGTTTTAGAATATTATTGAAAAATGATAAATTATTAGTACAATGGGCATACCAGCATATGTTTTGTATTCTATATAAGAACTGTCGATACACCTATTCATTAGTTTGTAAACGTAGGGCATTGAAGTTTATTTGCGCGATCAACAATATCAATTGCCCTATGTATGGTTTTACGAAAATACCGTTCCATATTTCTTTTCAAATGATTTTTTATTTGCTTTGGTTGTATGGAGAAATTGACATTAAAGAAAACTAAAGGTATACAAAGTACGCAGTGAATAAAAACCTAATCTAAAAATCGACAAACACTTTGTAAGAATTAAAAGTTTTATTGAAGACGAAGTGTGGTAACATAAATATTTGCTGTTATGAAATTTTATCCTCCACATACGTAAGCTTTTTATCTTTATATGTCGACCATATATCTGCTTATATTTTTATAATATTTAAAAATTTAAAAATTGACAAAGTAAACAACGAAAATAAAATTGAAAAATAATGTTCAATATAATATAGAAAATTAATGCATTTAAAGAAAATAAATTATATTTTATTTATCAAATCCTTTTAAAAGACAAAAAAAGATAATAATTTTCATTTTAAATTGAAAAAAAACTGAAATTATTGTATAAAAGAATGATGTCTTAAAATCACGTTCTATGATAAGTCTACTTGTGAGAATATACATGAATGATTTTAATACAAAGGCAATAACTGATATAACAAATCAAACGTAAAATTGAATGTTAAATAGTTTATTTGATATAAAACATTGACATAGAAAGAATATGACGGTGTTCCTATTTTATGGTTTGTATTCAATAAAAAGTACAATGTGATATAGTAGGTAAACATCACTATCCAAAGATGATAAAAAGCAACAAAACCTCTCTTGGCCGATATGTTAACAAATATGTCAAATTACAAAGCGTTAAATAAATATGAAAAATCAGTCAAACATCAATGTGATGTACATGTAGCAGTAAACATGCAATGGCATATATTTCAAATCTGTAAAATTATCAATGATATGTATGATAGAAAAAATTCCATGACAAATGAAAATACTTTGTAACCTTCGCAGAATGACCTTCTGTAGAGAGCAACAACTTCTTTTTAACATCAATTTCAAAATTTCTTAAAGTCAAATTTAGCAACTCCTCTCAACAATAACTAAATCGTTATATCCGAAACGGTTTTGCTCTGAAGAGCTTGATATGTAACAAGTTGTTCTCGTCAATTATAAATAAGGATAATTTTCTCTTAGCATGCACTATTGAACAGAGGTAGACTTAATCTTTATGACAAGTATTTAAATAAAATTTCCCCTGATAATATTTAAAGCAATAATCTGATAAATAGCTAAAGCAAAATTCTTCACGATAAATATATAAAGCAATGATCATCCCGATAAATATAAAAAGCAATAATCTTCCGGATAAATATTTAAAGCAATGATCTTCCCGATAAATATTTAAAGCAATTATCTATGTATATGTATTTATATCATAATTGAACAAATACTTCTATTCATTTAAAGATATCAACTGACTTATATCAATAAATAATATATACTATTCAAGCAACTAATATTTCTATAACATTAATACTATTTAATAATTAACAAGTCTTGGCTAATAGGCCTTTGACCATGGTGTGATATTCACAGGTATAATGTCTAAAGTAACTCTTTGTCGACCAAACCATCACACAACAAAGCATACAGCCGGTATGAATAATATCCGCCTAAGTCAAAACCAAGCCGTATGCCAACAAAATCCGCCTAAAGCAAACGAAACCGTATGACGACAATGTTCGCCTAGAAAGCAGAGAAAGTAAACACACTTTGATTAATGTTTATTCTTATGTTTGTTTGTTTGTTTGTTTGCTTGTTTGCTTGATTGTTTGTTTGTTCTTCTATTTATGTTACAGTAAAGCTTGAACGTCGCGATATGACCTATTCTGTGTCGATGTGACGTAAAACCCAAATCAAACAAACAAAAATTCATGTTAGGTCAGTAGACAAAATAGATTTTAACAAAGGCAGTTTACTAAATTTTCAGATCTAAAACTTATTGGAAACTTTATCTGAACTTACCATTTACGATTTACTGGTGTGACAAAACTTAGCTGACTTAAATTGATAATTTAAATAATGTCAATGTAGCATCTTGTTAATCATTGTTGAAAGTATTTGTTGATTTTGGTATCTACATTAAAATTAATGCTACATTTTGGATATAAACAATCAAAGTTAAAAAGAACAAAGATGGGTTTATCGGAAAGTTGTCCAAAAAAGGGTTTTTTGAGCATTCCCCGATTTATAAAGCCAGCTCCCAAAAAATTAGCACTGAACATTTCCCGTAACTGTTATAAAATTTGGGATATTATCAAAAATGTAAAAGGGGAAAAACATGTATACTTTTGAGTTTTTTTACTTTTTAAATTTAAATTTATTTTTCAATGTTTAAAAAAAAATTGCCAAGGCAAAAAATCAAAAATTTTACAATTTTTAAAAGACCAATACCCTATCTATTTTAAAAAAAAATATTTTAATTTTATCAAAACAATTTTTTAAAATTTTTTGGGGAAATTTAAAAGTTTTAACTTTCATATTGCACGATATTTCAGAGATTTCCCTTTTTATTTCAAAAAAGTCCCTTTTTTTGTTTTAAAGGTTTAAAACGCCCTATACATGTATTTAAAAATTATTTTGTTTTTTTTATATCGTTTAAAAAAAAGAAATTTCCAAAATGAAAAATGTTTTGGGTGAATGCAGGTTTTGACAAAAAAAGCCCCGTTTTGGTTTTAAATTTAAAAATTTAAACAATTCATTTTTTTAAAGGGCCATTTTTGGGATACATTATTTTTTTTATTTTCCCTTTAAAAAGAAAAATTATACCTGATTATTTTTTGCATCCACCCGACTTTTCCCCAAATTTTAAAATTCCCGT